CACACACACACACACACACACACATTGAAACTGGATGTTAGAATCATTTTAACCTGTGATGAGAAAGATTACCAATGGGGAAGGAACTGCCAGTAGAAACACAGGAAGGCTCCAGTTACCAGAACAAAAGAATGAGTCAGAAGCCGGGCCTGGGATGGGAGACAATGAAATGCTAACAAAATCAGACAGTTAGTTCTGCCAAATCTGTGATGCAGAACAAAGCAAGCAAAGGACCCAAGTGTGGCAAGGATTTTAGGTGACATGAATCGTTGGTCTGGGTAGCTGGGATACCTCACACATGGTCAGACAGAAAGAGAAAGGAAAATTCTATTGGAGTCAAGGGGAAGCGAGAACCAGAGCCATCAGAAGAAATGGAAGAGAGTAATACTCAGGATGACATTCAAGTTCAACTGAGTTTCCTTCTGCAAGGTCCTGAGGCTCTCCTCTCAAGGAATTTACCATCTTGCTAAAGACTGAAGGATAAATACCAGGGCAGATCAAGGGGAGCGAGATGGCACGAGCCAGTCACCGCTGCAGCAGGAGGAAGGCAGTTGAGTTGGGGGAGGGGGGGAGATGTGGGAAGATGTCACAGAAGGGGACCCATCTGAGCTAGAAGCCCACAGCAGAGGTGGTGGAGGAATTTGGGGGTGAGGAAACTGGCTGAGCAAAGCCTCAGCATGACAGTTAGAGATGGGGCAGTGGCCCAGTAGGACCATGGCCCCAGGGGACACAGGGAGAGATGCCATCAGAACGTGGGCAGGGCCTTCCACAAAACCTTCACCCCAGACCCTAGAATCTAGCTGCCATTAAATGTGTTGAAACATTAAATGCGTTTAAAGAGTGGAGGAACATGAGCCACCCTGTACTGTGGCAGCAACATGATGCTTGCTTTTTAAGTTCACGATCCATCATCTTTAGAGAAAATGCATCTCGCTCCCGAGAGAAGAGAAGACCACAAAAACACACCGTCTTCCTCCTCTGCCAATGGTGACTTCTGACGCAATACCTCAGATTGCTGCGGCCCCCTGACTCCAGCCTGGGGAGGGCAGGGTGGACTGGAGCAGAGTGAGGTTTTGGAGGACACAATCATCCCACCAAAGGCACCCACCCTGAAGAGGACCCTCATTGCAAGAGAGAGTTCAAAATACCCCCTGTATGCTCACACTCTTCTCCAGCTACTGCCCATTTCTCCCTTCCCTTCAGGGTAAAGCTTCTCAGAAGGGTTGCCTCCATCTCCTTGCCTTTCATTTAAAAAAATTTTTTTTATTGAAGTAGAGTCGACACACTTTACGTTAGTTTCAGGCGTACAACGTAGTGATCTGACAAATCCATATGTCATGCTGTGCTCACCAGGAGCGTAGCTACATCTGTCACTCCCCAGTGCCATTATGAGGCCACTGACTACATTCTCTGTGCTGTACCTTTTATACCTGTGGCTTACATTCCCTCCTTAATTTACTTCTGTCCCCATCACGCTGCTGTCAAAACTGCTCCCATCGAGTCCCCAGTAAGAACTTCTATGTCACCAAATCCAGTGAGCACTTTCCTGTTGCCGCTCTACTTGATCACAGTAGCTGACTCCTGCCTCCTTGAAACTCTCCTCTCTCAGCTTCTGGAACCCTCTTGGTTTCCTTCCTGCCTCCCTGGTTGTCTCTCCTCAATCTGTCTTGCCAGCTACGATTTCTCCAGTTCCAAGTGTGGCTCAGCAGCAGCAGCTGGGAACCTGTGAGAAATGAAGATTCTTGGACCCCATCCCACATCTACTGATCAGAATCTCCAGGGTGCGACCCCACGTGACTTCCACTAACCACGGAGAACTGCTGATCAAAAACTGCCAGAATTCTTGGCAGTTCAGAGTGGATTCCTCTTCTTTTCTCCGGCCACACCTTCTTCCTTGCTGTCATTCAAGCCCATGACTTTGAAAATGATCTACATACTGATAAATTCTCAACACACATCTTCAGCACCAACCCATCCAACTCCAGAATCCCCAGGTGTATCCATCTGGGGGTGACACAGGCATCTCAAATTCAATGTGTCTGACATGGAAGGAACTTCTCTAAAACCTGGCCCTTCTAAAACTTGGTCTTCGTCCATGTTTTACCATGTCGGATAGAAGTACCTCCTCTACTACCAGCCTGGATCAAACCACCATCTTATCTCCCCTGGACCACTGCAAAAGCCACTTTATAGGCCCTGTTTCCTCTTTTGCCCCCTTAGAACCCACACAACAACCAGAGTGGTCTTTTAAGAACTTAAATCAGATCATATCATTTCCCCACTTAATTTCCAAGGGCTTCCTATCACATCTAATTAAAATCTAAATACCTTGTCATGGGCTCTTAGTCCCTGCATGACTTGATCACTTTCTATGTGGTTTCCCATCTTCCACTTTGATGTCTGAGTCAGCGAGGGTAACTATAATTCACACTAGGTGCTCTATAAATTGTTTGTTGAATAAAATAATTCTCCTTTTGCAAATAAGTAAATTTAGACTTTTACTTCCTTAACTTCTTTATATTTGCTGAGAAGGATCTATAGGATATTGACAATACCTTCAAGCCAGAACACAGGGGTTGCAAAGGGAGATTCTCAAAGAATGACTTGACAGTACTGTGAACTTTAATACAGCAGGTCCCCTAGAGGCCACATTATAAAGCCCTAGAGGGCAAACCTTAAACTCCACTCCCCACCAATCCAGAAAATGGCCTTCCTTGTTCATAATGGGGTATGGTAGTTATCGTGATGGGGGAGGCAATTGTGAATGACATTGGGGGAGGCAATTGTGAATGACCTTGGGATAAGGAATGCCATAGGACCATTTGCAAAAGCTTCCTCCTATGGGCTGCCTACCCATAGAGCTGTTCATGAGGTCAATGAAAGCCCCTAAGAATCTATAGGCCAGACCACCAACCCCATAATGGCAGTTTTAACAAATGGCCACAAATTCTTTGATACTCCTCCCATTGAAATGTGGGGTCTATGTCCCCTACACTTGAATCTGGATGGACTTGTGACTACTTTGGTCAATAACATACAGTGGAAGTGAGGCTATATGGTTTCCAAGACGAGGTGGAAAGCTTCAGGGAAGGTTCCATGCTCATGTCCTAAGCACCAATGTAAGAATTCCTTCAAACCTGAGACCAGTATGCTGGCAGGAGGCCAGGCCACATGGAGAAGCCCTACGTAGGCATTCCGATAAGCACGCTTGATTTTCCAGTCAGCCCCACTCAGGTGCCAGCCATGCAAGTGAAAGAGCCTTTCAGTAATTCCAACCTCTAGCCATCAAGTCGCCCTCAGACTTTTGAGTCTTCCTCACTGTGGCTGCAGACATCATGGGAGGAGCCAAGTCCCCACTGTGCCCGTTCACCTCCTTGGCCAACAAGCATCCATGGGCATAAGGAACTGGTGGTTGTTTTAAACCACTAAGTTTTATGGGTAGACGCTACATAGCAATTATAGTCAGAATCGGACATAGGACAATCACTTTTGGTTCCCTAATTCCCTCAAGAAATCCTCTGCCCTTGAGCCTTTTCTTGCTGGGAGAGCATTTGCCCAGTAGACACAAGATTCTTTTGAGGAAAAAAAAAAATCTGAGTTTTAGGGTCTTCTAACCAAGCTTTCCAGAGTCCTCCTGCCAGGGGGAAGCCAGCCCCTTGCCCAGTCTGATCTGGCCACCTCACTCCAGGCTCCAGCCCAGCTATGACTCAGAGAGCTGCTTCACTGCCCCCAGTCCACCTGGCAATAAGCCATCTCCAAAAAGAGAAGGTAAGGCTCGAAAAGTACTTTCATCTTAATCATTATGTAAGACCGGATGGATAGAAAATGGCCATAGCTTTGTTGCCTAATGTTCTTTTCTTACTGGCCCTAATCCAGGTCTCTCTATTACTGAATCATCCCAGGAGATGGCCATCCATGTTTTCCAGACCTATCATTTACCCTTCCCAGCTAATCTTTCAAATGCCCACCCACATTCACAGAAACCTCACCCATTCACATAAACAGCACGTGGTATTGTTTCACCTCCCTATACTCTCTGGCTTCTCCCTTTCTGCCCACTTGAACCCTCCCACTTGAGTGATCCACCTGGGGTAGGGGTATGTAGTCCAAACCCCGTTTCCAATGGGTGTCTCGATGTTTTAAAACCTCTTTTCTTACAAACTTAGGGGAGCCTCCTGCCCTTAAGAAGGGGGCTAGATGTCCCATTTTTCCCAGGATAGTCTTGGTTTATGTCTACCGACCTGCTTAATTAATACTGGTGCCATTTCACTTTAAAAGTGACCCAATTTGGGATTATAATTTAGATGGTTCCCCAAATCTTAATTCCCATCCTTCTTTCACTTCATCCCTGACCATCTTTTACATGAGACAAACCTCTCATTTCTTAGCAGGAATGATGAGCGAGAACGCACATTCTGTTTACCACAAGCGATGTGAGTGGACTTGTTCAATGGTGTACATTTTCCTCTGAGGGTCATAATCTCAGTCTCTTCTCTTGCATCAAATAAGCAACAGAGACTGAGCACATGAAATAACCGGTGACAGCCAGGGTTCTTCCTAGGCCTCAAAATTTAAGAATGTACGCGAAAATTCATAAAACCGGCCTCAATCCAAGGTAGCAAAATGTTTTCCTCTTTAGAAATTCCTGGCTACCGAAGTTCCAGAAATTGCTTTCTCATTCCCTAACGTCTCATTCTCTCCATTATGTAACGGGGGAGTTGGGGCTTGAGGCCTAATTTCTTTTTAGAGATGATTTTTACAGTCAATGAGCAACGTCAGGGAGCGATGACACCAGGAGGTGGTATCAGCCCGGTGGCAAGCGTTTAAGCGAATCCCAACACGCCTTTCCGGGAGACTCAGACTCTCGGGAACGCTCGGCAGGCCCGCACCTCCGGGCGTAACCCCCCGCCGCCCGCCCGCGTCGCCGGGAGCGCGCCTGAGGCCGCGCGGTCATTGGTCCACGCGCCGACCTCCGCTCGCGAGCGCCGCCGCCCCCTTCCCCGCCCCCTGCCGTCGTCCTGGGCGGTGCGCGTCGCCAGCCTCCGCGCCAGTCGCTGACATCCGCGGTGCTGCGAGCTTCTCCCGTGCAACCGAGACAGGTAAACAGACGGGTCGCCTGGTCGACTCCCGGCGGGGGCGGGGGTCCGGAGCACTGGGGCGCGGCGGGGGCGCTGCGGAGCCCGAGAGCGAGAACCCGGGGCCTTGGGGGCGGGGGCAGACCTTGACCGCGAGCGGAAGTGGGCTTTTCTGCGGGCGCGGGACACGTCCGGCCTGCCCCAGGCTGCTCGTGGGTTTTCGGGTGACGCCGCCTGGTTTTGCTTTTCTGGTTGGGTCTGGGGGCGGCTAGCAGGGCCCCCCTAGGGAGGGATGACGGTGTGACACGATGTCTAGTCCTGCTCCGAGCAGCGTGTCCGCGGCCGGAGGGGCCGAAGGTGCGGCGAAGTGGTGGCGGTCACCCGGCGCAAACGCGCCTGGGGTACCCAAGAAGGCCCGCCTAACGGCTCCGGGCAGAGGCGCCAGAGGGTCGCGGGGCTCCGGGCCGCTGCCATTGGGTCGCCCTCCCCGCGGGCAGGCAGAGCCCGGGACGCCTTTCGCCGGGCTTGGCCCCACCCGACGCCCCAGGGTGCGCGGAGTGGGGGTGGGGGAGCGGGCGCCAACCCGGAGCCAGAGCCTCTGCTGGAGGGGAGTCCGGGCGCCTGGGGGCCCCCTTCGCCGGCGACGTCCTTCCAAGAGGCGGCCCTACCTGTACAGCCCTCCGAACTGCGAGGGCAGAAGCGGGAGGGCGTGGGCGGGGCCCTCCGCGGGGTGGGGCCTGGGTGGGCCCAGCTCGAGCGTCTCGGGGCCTGGAGTGGCCGGGGACACACGGCTCCTGTCTTGATTGTGACTATCTTCATGGCTGCGTATTTTTCTTTAATTCAGAGCATCACGATTTAATAAACACTTCCCCACATGCAGAACATCTGGAGATGTTTCCCCTTTCCTTGCGAAAAACTCCAGGTGGAATACGATTAAAGATTTTTACAAATCAAATTACCAAAAAAAAAAAAAAAAAAAAAGGAACAGAAAATTGAATAAAAAGGTCAGACATCTGGAAAAATGAAGAACTCTTTCAGATTTTAAGGAGAGATAGAAAAATCACCAATTAAGGAACGCTTTAACCTACAATTTAACCGGGAGCTCTTAAAAAGAACTAGCTGGAAAGGGAAAGAAAACAGAGCTAGGATGTGATTTGGATTTTGTTTGTATCTGACACACGGCTTTCATATTTGTGAAAGGAAGATGTCAAGATTATCATAGATACACGGTGGAATGATGAATGATTTACACAATAAAATGCAAGTCTGGGTTATCATTTTACATCTACGAAATGAACAAAAACAATAACAGTAATAATTACAGTAACCCCTAAAAAGTTGCCATGAGGGGGCGCCTGGCTGGCTCAGTCAGTAGCGCATGTGACTCTTGATCTTGGAGTTGTGAGTTGTAACCCCACTTTAGGTATAAAGATTAAATTAAAAAAAGAAAGAAAGAAAACTGCCATGAAACTTATACTCAGTTTTCTGAGGATGTGGCAAAGCTTTGGAGTTAGAAAGATGGCGCTTCTCCCAAATTCTGGAGTTTGGAGGGTCACCTAATTTTGTAATCCTCCTCTGGTCCATTCATAAAGCAGAGGAAATGATACCTGCTTCCAGAGTTTGTTGCCAAGATTAACTTTATGTGAAACTGACCCTTCGTGTATATATATCGTTATTCTTTTCCTATTCACACCCCTCTGGGGCTGTTGTGAATTACTGCAGACTTTTTGTAAAACAATCTGGCAGTGCTTTCATTAAGAAGTTAAATATGGTGACCCAGAAACCCTATTCCTGGGAATTTACCTGCAATGGAAGAGACAAACAAACAAGAAAAAAAAAGCCCTATGCAGGCACATATTGGTGCAGGATGATCTAAAATTAGAACCAATTGGGAAACAACCTACATGTACAACAGCAGGGCAGTAGCTCAGAAAATCATGGCGCATTAACTAGAAGGAGCATTATGTAACCGTCAAAAGTCATGATTTTGGAGCCTCTGATAGTGGGGGGGAAACTGACAAGTCAAAGTGCAGGTTTCTAAACTATTTACTCAAATGTGATACATATGGGGAACATCTGAAAGTAAAAGCACCAAAACATGGACATTTTAATAGAAGTTAGAGGTGATGTTAATGATCTTTTTTGTTAGTATTTGCTTTTACTAAATAATGCAGTGTTTTATTTTTTTTTTTAATTTTTTTTTATGTTTTATTTATTTCTGAGAGAGACAGACAGCGTGAGCAGGGGAGGGTCAGAGAGAGAGGGAGATACAGAATCCGAAACAGGCTCCAGACTCTGAGCTAGCTGTCAGCACAGAGCCTGATGCGGGGCTCGAACCCACGAACTGTGAGATCATGACCTGAGCCGAAGTCGGACGCTTAACCAACTGAGCCACCCAGGTGTCCCAATAATTCAGTGTTTTAAATTGGTCCCACATGTCTCAATTTTTAAAATGATACAGACCCACAGTTTTCTGTGTGTGGAGGGAAAGCTCAGTGTCCTGTTTGCTGCTTTTTATTTATTTATTTATTTTTTAAATTTTATTTTTGAGAGAGAGAGACAGCGCAAGTAGGGGAGGGACAGAGAGAGGGAAACACAGAATCCGAAGCAGGCTCCAGGCTCTGAGCTGTCAGCACAGAGCCCGATGTGGGTCTGGAACTCACGAACCTCAAGATCATGACCTGAGCCGAAGTCAGACGCTCAACTGACTGAGCCACCGAGGCGCTGCTGTTTGCTGCTTTTTAAAATGACCCCATTTCTTTTTTTCAAATATTGTCTCATTTTTTTCCTTAAGTAGGTTAGTTCAGCAATTTATGTATTAGGTTTTTCTTTTAAGGAATCAGTTCTTAAACTTATTTATCAATTCTAGTTTTCTCTTTTTTTGTTATTTTAAGGACTCCTGAATATATTTGAAAACTGAATCATTTCAGCCAAGCCGAAGCATCCAGTCAGAGGCGCAAACCCAGCTCAGCTGAGCCACAACAGATGTATGTACCCTGTGGAGTCTCTTTCGTCTTCTGAAGTTTGAAAGTGTCCAACTGTCATAGAAAATAAGGGTCTGGAAAGGCTGTGATCACCGTCCCTACTCTGGAGGCCCTTTGGGTCTATATATTTAACTCCTACTGATTGCATCATCCTTCCTTGGAAAACCAGCTTGATTTTGCAGAGAAAAGGGTTATCGTTTTATCTGCAATCATGCTGGATGATGTAAGAAAGCAGCCATTTAAAAAATAATATAGTAGGGGCGCCTGGGTGGCTCAGTCCGTTAAGTGACTGACTTCAGCTCAGGTGATGATCTCACGGTTGGTGGGTTCAAGCCCCCGCATCCGGCTCTATGTTGACAGGGAGAGCTTGGAGCCTGCTTCGGATTCTGTGCCTCCCTCTCTCTCTCTGCCCCTCCCCCGCTTGCACTCTGTCTCTCTGTCTCTCAAAAATAAATACACATTTAAAAATTTTTTTAATATAGTAAAACCATCACATAACAAATGTCTCTGCACCAAATGAACACTGAAGGTGACTATCAGCCAGCCTGACAAAAGGTTTATGAGATGAAAGGTTTTCTAAGCTGTAGTTTGACCTTACCTCTTCCATTCTCGCTTTTGGATCTTATTTCCTCTTCTAAGGCAACTGTATCAGCTGTGAACGGCCGTGTATTAAACATTCAGAGTGCCGCGGCACCGAACCCAGTGCCAGTGCCGCACTGGAAAATAATCCTCAGTGCAGTGTGTGTAGCAGGGCTTGCGGTGGGAGCATTTTATTTTTTTTTCCCATTTGTTCATCCTTCTTCAGTCATGTTGCTTCCAGGGAAACGTGCCCCTTCACGAAAAGCATTATAAATGTGCTTCAGTGCTGTGCTCCTGTGGACCTAGTTCTGAAGCCTGATTGGGAGTGCAGTTCCCCTGGGAAGCTTTAATAAATCCCCACATCCCATCTCGACACTGCCGCTCTGGGCCTGGGATAGGCTCCCACAGTGTTGCTTGCTAAAAACTCTGCAGGGGATGCCTGAGTGGCTCAGTCGGTTAAGCGGTTAAGCCTCTGACTCTTGATTTCTTGATTTTGGCTCAGGTCATGATCTCGAGCCCCGCGCCAGGCTCTGTGCTGGCAGCGTGGAGCCTGCTTACGATTCTCTCTGTCCCTCTCTGTCTGCCCTTCCCTGACTTGCATGCACGTGCACGCACACACACACACTCAAAATAAATAAAATAAATAAACTGTAAGAAAAGTTTTAAAAAAATTTAAAAAGCTCTTCAGGCACTTCTGATGATAGGCCAGGTTGGGGGTCCTTTGTCCTGTTCAGTCCAGGCCTGGGCCTCAGGTACCCATGAAACCCTACATCCCAAAGTGTTTCTACAAAATTTTGTCGAGTCTGTATCAGATTCTTTAAGGCACAGTGACCTCAAAAAGATGAGAATCTGACAAGGTTCTACTTTGCACTTTTCGGTGGGGGATTTCCCCGGGGACTGTGGGGGTGGGGGAAGCTGGTGCCACTCCCCAGTGTAAGCTGTTAAGTTTCAAGTTATCACATGTTCTAAGTATTACAAGTTTGGCCCCTGGCACGTGACCGTTAGGCTAATTCCTACCAGCTCTGACTCTCTCAGCCCCCTGTATAAATGGGGTGATCCATGGATCTTTTATGTACCTTCTCTCGAGTTCCATTGCTTTGCCATTTGCTCATGCACCAATCCCACATGAGGTTACTTATTTTAATGTTTATTTATTTATTTGGGTGGGGTGTGGCGCAGAGGGACAGAGAGAGATGGAGAAGGAGAATCCCAAGCAGGCTCCATGCTGTCAGCAAAAAGCCCAGTGCAGCTTGATCGATCTCACAAACCTTGAGATCATGACCTGAACTGAAATCAAGAGTCAGATACTTAACCAACTGAGCCACCCAGGCGCCACCGCCCCTTTTTAAAAATAAGAATGGAGGCTGATTTTAATTGAAAACTTTTCAATATCTGCAGAGAATCTTACAGTTTTGTTTCCTTAACCTATTAATAGATTTCCTGATTTTGAGCCATCCTTGAATTCCTAAAATAATCCTTATTGGTCATAGTGTATTCTTCTTTTACTAAACTGCTAAAATCAGTTTGGCAGTGTTTTCTGTTGGATTTTGGCACCCATACTGGTGGAGGCTGGGTGACGAAGGGCACGAGCCCTACACTGGAAATGCTGAGGTGCCAGTCTCGGCCCTTTATCAGTCCTTGGCTATAGCCGCCACTTCTCAGGTGAAAGATGTGCTAACACTTCTCTCTGCTGAGCTCCAGATTCTTAAAACAACTGCCTGCACTGAACGTCTCAAAGATGTTGCCGAGTTCGTGTGTCCAAATTATAGCTCTCAGTTTCTCTCCAAGCAGGGCTCACCACCAGCTTCCCCCATTCCAGTAGATGATATCACCCATCAAGCTAAATATCTTACCACTGTGTCTCCAGCCACCAGCAGAAAGCTAGAACCTTAGAAAACACTTAAATATTTGTCGAACGAGGCGTGCCTGGGTAGCCCAGTCGGAGCAAGTGTCCATCTCTTGATTTGGCTTCAAGTCGTGATCTCATTGATTTCGATCAGGTCATGATCTCACAGTTGGTGAAATTGAGCCCCATGTTGGGATTCTCTCTCCCTCGCTTTCTGCCCCTCCCCCAATCTCTCTTTCTCAAAATAAATAAATAAACTTCAAAAAAATTTGTTGAATGAATCAATAAGTTGTTGGATTGTAAATATTATAATATGTAATTTTTGAAACTTTGTCCTTCAGTTTTCTTATGGTTAGTGGTCAGTTCAAGTTTTCTATTTATTTAAAAACTGGCCCATACCAGTTGGTTGAATTAATTCTAAAGTCGATATTTGTAATTTATATTTTAACAGAAAGGCAATCCATTCCACAGATTTTTAATTCATGAAACACAGTTGCATATAGAAGGTTGTTACCCTTTTGAAACCTTCCCCTTTTTAAAAAAATTTTTTTCAATGTTTATTTTTGAGAGACAGAGAGAGGCAGAGCTTGAGTAGGGAGAGGCAGAGAGAGAGGGAGACAAAGAATCCAAAGCAGGCTTCGGGCTGTGATCTGTTAGCACAGAGTCCAATGCAGGGCTCAAACCCACGAACCATGAGATCATGACCCGAGCTGAAATCAGACACTTAGCCAACTGAGCCACCCAGGTGCCCCTAAAAGCCTTCCTTTTCTAAGGTGATTTTGCCTTTTCCATTCCCCATGTGGCACTGTGTAGTGGTGTTTGTATTACATTTTCAAGTCACTCGATTTTATTTAGAAGTTCCCTGGGGCTTCCTGGGTGGCTCAGTTGGTTGAGCATCTGACTTCAGCTCAGGTCATGATCTCACGGTTCAGAAGTTTGAGCCCTGCTTCGGGTGAGCCCTGCTCCTTTCTCTTTCTTCCCCTTTTTCCCTTCCCCCTCCCCTCCCTTTTTCTCTCTCTACTCCTCATGGGACTGTCCCTCATGGGATTCTTTCTCTTTCTCTCTCTGCCTCTTGCTCACATGTGCCTTCTGTCTCCCTCTCTGCCCCTTTTGGGACTGCCGATCATGGGAGTCGGTCTCTCTCTGCCCCTCGCTCAGTTGCACCCTCTCTCCCCCTCAAAAAAAAAAAAAAAAAGAAAAGAAAAGAAATTCCTCATGTTTCTGGGTTTTGTTAAGTTCTAATTTCATCTCTTGTTTCTTTATAACTATGATGTTTTATTTTGAAATTTTCTGTTTTCTTCGTTTTTGAGTTGAGTATGATTTACTTTCATTCTTTCTGTTCGGTTATACCACCTACGCTCCTTTGATCATCACATGGGTTCCTTTATTCCCCACCCCTGCCTTCTTGGCTTTGTCCAACTCATTTGTGGGTTTAGTTTGATTTGGTAATTTTTTTCTTTTTGGCTAAAGTGTTAAGTGTAAGTGACTTTTTCTTGGGTCCCATTTTATCTGATTCTTAATGATTTTGAATATCTTTTCATGCCCTTTGGGCTTCCCCTCTTTTATAAATTATCAGTTTTTATATCGTGTGGCCCTGTTGTCTATTGGAATTACTGTCTCTTACTGCTTTGCAAGAATTCCTTGTAGGTTCTAGAAATGTTCTAGATTCTGTTGGTCTTAAATACTATGAATGTTTTTTTTTTTTTTTTTTTACCATTATTTATTCCTTTTCTTAATTTTGTCCATAGTGTTGTTCATAGCATTAAACAAGAATCCTTAACTTTGGCGTCCTAAGATTCTTACTCTTGGTGTGTGCTTTTTGTTGAAAAAGTCCTTCCATGGTGCACCTGGGTGGCGCAGTCATTTGGGTTTCTGACTTCGGCTCAGGTCATAATCTCACAGTTCATGAGTTCAAGCCCCATATCAGGCTCTGTGCTGACAGCTTGGAGCCTGAAGCTGCTTCGGATTCTGCATTTCCCTCTCTCTCTGCCCCTCCCCTGCGTGTGCTTTGTCTTTTTCTTTTTTTTAAGTTTTTTTAATTTTGAGAGAGAGAGAGAGTAAGTATAGGAGAGGGGCAGAGAAAGAGAAGGAAAGAGAGAGAGAGAGAGAGAGAGAGAGAAAGAATCCCAAGCAGACTCACCGCACTTGAACTCACCAAGCATGAGATCGTGACCTGAGACAAAGTTCGACACTTAACTGACTGGGCCACCCAGGCACCCCTGTCTCTTCTTCTTCCAATGACCAACTCTTACCTTTCATAGGTAGGTCTGTATTCCATCTAGAGTCTGCCCTTCCAGGTGTTAGGGATCCAATTTTGTTTTTCTTCGGTTTCCCAGAAGCTTCTGCTAAGTAACCTTCCTTTCGCCACCGATTTGTGGTGCTTGCTGTATTGTACATCAAGTCCCTGCTAAAGTGTATATTCAAGGGCTTATCTTCTATTCTCATTGGTCTATTGGCTTGTTTCCAGACTCCTACTGTGTGGTCTCTACTGCTATGGCTTTGTAGTAGGATTTAATATCTGAAGCAATAGATTCCCTTCTCTTTTCCATTCCTTTTTAAGGTGGAGTTTGCTATTCAT